CGGCGTTAGGGTAGGTCAAGCAGGGCTTACGTCCAGGGCTTCGTGATTTCAAAGACCTCGCGCTTGTGAACTCATACAAAAGAATAGCAGGATTATAATGGGCGTAAAACTGGAAAAATATTTTTTATAGTAATGTAACGATGTTTTTGGGAAAAACGCGCGTTGTCTTATCAAACAGTATTTTTGGCCGTGGCTAAGTATTGGGTATTATTACAATTATTAGGCGGAGGTACGCTAAAAAAAGAAAGTCTTGCAAAAATATAAATTTATCCAGGGCCTCGCGAATCGTAACGCCGGCCCTGATTATGCACTTATGCGTAGGTACCTAGATACTAAAAAAAAAAAAAAATCATCTTAGATAAATTTAATTGCTAATTCATGTAAAAAATTTACTTAGTATTTTGTTTTCAAGATATTTTGGTAATGCTATATATTATATTATAGTCACTTAAAATAAACTACTTATTAAGAATACCTATGTTATTTAATTTTTACACTATTATCAACTTTAAGACTTTCAATTTAATGTCTGAATATATGTACCTAGTGAATAAGTCGCTTTATAGAGTATTGGACTCATCACTTATGAGTCCATTGCTTCCCAAACATTTTATACTTGCAGTGTTATATTTGAACTAAAACTTTCTCAGAGTGCCCTTGCATATAATTGTACTCAAAACACGATTTTGAGCAGAATAGCATTATTCATATTTTTCTCATTGATAGACTAGGTACTACCAGAAATTAACAAAAATAATATGTATAGGTACCTACTGATGTATCGACAATTGTTGTCAGGTTTTTTTTTATTTTACAGAAAAACTATATTGTAATCTTGAAATATGTTTAAATTATTAAAATTACAAGTTCACAAGCTACTGATTAATAATAAATAACAATATAATAAGGAAATAGCTTTTACATGTGTATCTTTTATTGCACCGTATGGTACTATGACGTATGCACGAATGAAAGCGGACACTTCACAGGTAACAATTTATAAACAACAGAAAATAACTTAACACTTAATCATCTAATCTTTGATCTCAAACGATCTGAAAGGTAAAGGCAAAGAGTATTGATATCACAACATAAATTAAATACCATTAGTTAAATAATTATCATTTTCTTTTTAAGAAACATTACGTATTACTTGAAGCATTTTTACTGATCGAAAAAGTGATTTTCGAGAAAAAAATGATTGAAACCCTGGTAATCATAATCAGTATTGCTGTTTCCGCTGTTATTTGAATTTAAATTTATTTTTCGAACAAATAATATGTTCCACCACATGTCAAAGCGGCGTATTCTTTGGGAAACGCTGGTATAAGTAGTATAATGTATTATAATTTTTAATTTTTTGCCTTTAAATCAATAACTAGCGGTGGTACCGAACTACCCTAAAAAAGAAGAGATACGTCTTTTCATAATACCTTCTTTTCTTTTTCTTCTTTATTGACATTTAATATTCTCTAAGAATTTTTGAAACCATTACGATTTCCCTCCATGTTTCTCGATCCGGAGCTATTTCTTTCCAATCTTGTACTCCTATATCCTGTTAAGGTCGTTCTCGAGATGTTTTCCCCATCGTTCTCCACTCTAGAGCTACGCTGCTTACATTATCTTCTCTTATTCGTATCACATGCCACAACCACTGAAGCCTCTGTCCTTTTATGAAGCTGATAACTGATGCCATTCCCATTTCTTCGAATAGTTTTTTGTTAAATATTTCCCCCACACTCTATTTTCACTGTCATAAATTGGTCCACATATTATCCATGTTTTATTTTCAAAGGTCATTAGACTTCTAAATGTATGCAAAAATGTATAGAGAAAGGACCTAGGTCTTGGTGGGTGATGAGCGAAAAAAAAAGTGGTAGCAAATCCATTAATCAGGCCTTGTATTATATAGACTTACAAAATTGGTAAATAAATTAGGAAGGAGGTCTATATTCTAAAAAGTACCTAGGGGTTTGATTTTGATTAGCCTAGGGGCACCTTTTAGGTAAATCCGGCTTGAATTTGATAGTTATTTGTCAAAAAACTAAGCTATACTTTTCACTAGGTATAACTTTATTTTAGTTTAATTCACAATTAGAAACGAATTAACAACTATTAAAAAGTAAATTTTCTGAAAATCTTTAAAATTACATTGTGTTTGCTACGTTATTTGGAGCTGATTTAATCACTCTTAATAGAAAAATACTTAAAACATTGAAAATGTGTTATACTGTAAATATATTGAATTTGTTATGAATACTTTTCCATCATAATTTATTTTTATTATCGTTTATGCTCAAATGTATTCAAATATCATTCTAAATGTCTAATAATAATTATAAATATTAGTTATATTTGAACGATAAAATAGGAATACAATTTTACAAATAGTCTGAAAAGATTGTGTGTACCTAATTAATCTAATAATTCCGGGAATTTTAGATATACTACAAGTTGTCCGTGTAACAAAAAAATGTCTATAAAAAATATTTATTATGTCTATTTTTTATAAATAAAATTAATAGTTAAACTATATCATTATATGCTATTATCATAGATAACTACATATCACAGGGATTGCATTACAAAAATTAATAACAATCTTTTTTTTTTCATCCGTGTTATCAACAAAAATAATTATATTTTTATACTAAAAACACCTAAAAACCGAAATTTAGGGAATGGTTTCCAATAGAGGGTAGATTTCGATAGCTGTAAATCTTCTCCGGAACAACTTCCCAAAGTTTCGTGGCAATCGGACGTATGGTGTAATATGCATAAAGGAAAAACAGACATACATTCGTTTTTACATATATAACTAGCTGTCCTGGCAATGCTTTACTATTGCTAGATTTTTTTATTATTAGGTATTTTTTTTTTTTTTATACTACACAATCAACAAAAATATTAATAATATTTACTTTGTTACCTGCAAGGTAACCCGATCAACAAAAATTATACCACAATCCCTGTGTCAGTTATCCTTTAGACCTTAGGGGTTGAATTTTAGAAAATTTAATAGCTATAAACCTTCTCCGGACCACGCGGAATATTTTTAAAAAAAACCCGTTAAAATCGGTCCAGTAGTTTTTGAGCCTATAAAGGACACACAGACATTCATTTATATATATATATATATATAAATATAACGACTATTATATTATTATTTCGAAAATATGAGCCAATTTGAAGGTATTACAAAATAGTTACGTATTTTAATTCAACATCCTCAAATTATATAATGTTTATTCAAAAAACCTTGGGAATACATTTTTCTTTGTTAACCAGTGTTATGTACTAACCTACCTATTTACATAAATTATATTTTTTCACCCGTACATCGGTTAGAAAAATATTCGACTAGGTTGTTTAGTGTTTTTTTTAGTTATTACTTGTTAGGTATAATAAGTTAATAATATAAAAAATGATTATCTATATCGTTAATGAAATAAAACGATATTACACATTACATACCTACCATATAGTTACCTACCATCTAAAGGTAAAAAGTATGACCCCTGTCACACATTTATAGCGTATTTGGTGCCATTTATAACTAGATAGAATACATAATAGCGTAATTGTTAATGGGTATAACTACTTAAAAATATATAATTTTGCTGAAATCTTAAAAATCTTTCTAAAATTTTATTTTTAGATTGATAATTATCGAAATAGAAAGTTCAGTTAATTTGCGAAACGTACAATTTATTATAATAATCATAATAAGTGCCTTAAAACTGAAAAATAAAAAGAATAAGGTACTGTACTACTACAGAATACTGTAGTAGAGTTTGGAGCACTACTATAGAACATACGTACTATTTTTTATGTAGTATACTACCATAGAAAAGTATAATACACTACATGCTACAAAATTACTGTAGCATTGATTAAGTGTACTTAATCAATGACTGTAGAAAGCACGAATTATTAATTAATACCATGGTAGTCAGCCACAGCGGTCTGTAGCAGTACCAACTTTGAAAATAAAATCCGCCACGTCCAAACCTACAACTCGTATTTAGTGTCTTAAGTGAAAACTGAACATTTAAAACCTAAAACCTCTAGTCGTTGCAAAAACACTGCGGGTGAAAATAAAAGAAGGGGGTAACGGTTAAAATCACGTCGGCAGATCACATGAAGTAGAAAATTCGATAATGTTTATTATGATAATAGAGAAAATTACAGGATTTTATTTTGAAAGGGAAAAGTTGACAACAATGAAACATTATATCTACAATATATTTATATATATATATACAATATAGTTTATTTTAGCTCCTTATCAACTGGCAAAAAGTTAGGGGGCAGTTATTCGAAATGATAAGAACAAATAATGATACGGATAAATATTAACGGACCGAAAGCGTATTTTCTATACCTACCTATATATTTTTAATTTATAATATTTGAATAATTAATACTTCTAGATTTAAATGTAATATTGCTATGTCTGAAACCAAAGCGAATGGAGAAAATTATTCAGAAATAAATCCTGATTTTTTATGCAAAACCATGTCAATAAGTACTTTATTTCGTGTGTCTTGTGTGCGGTTTGTCAACATGCGACCGGGTCGAGTTTCCGATAACGATTCTTATCACTTTTCGAACAACTGCCATTCACCGTCAGCAAAATTTGTTTCCTACCATCTGTGTCATAACCACGGTTATAGATATATCTATGTGGTCTGACTCATGGAATTTGATTGTCTTTATCTTGTCTTGTGTTGAGTTATGAGTCATGACGACTTCTAATGACAAACCTACATAAACTACTTAATTTTATTTTTAGTGCCGAGGTACTAAGTAGTTATTATTCTTTGCAGTCTTTTTAATTACTATTCTTTAGACGGGTTGTTATTAGTTTTCAGTTTCTTCTCTATTCGAAACATCGCTCGTTTGCCATTTTCATTTTATTTGACTTCCGTTTCGTTTGAATTTCTATATTGTTGCATTTTTTTTTTTTTTTATAAGTTTTTTACTGAGCAATTGAAAAAATGAGCTACCCAGGATATCCTCCAAACAACCAGGTGAGTTATTTTCCTAATTTTTAATAGTTTCAAATTAGTATCATTTAATCGTGATTTTAAATATTCAATGTAACCACATTATATTAATCAACAAGTAGTTATAATATAAAACGCGGGATTGATATATCGAAATTTTACCTTTAATTGTTTAATAATATTAACTTTGATAGTTTGATCCCTTTTCAATGTATGATAACACTATATTATTTTAATTCAAATGAACAATTAACTTTACAATTTCACTGCGTGTAAATATTTATTATATATTTGTAATTTAATACCTGCCCAATGATAGGTTTTTTTTTTTATGCTGAGTATAACTGTGATTCATTATGTGATCAATTTACTTAACTATCTAATCTTTTTTCAAGAATTTGTTAAAAAATTTTTTAGTATTCATTTAATTTAACTTTCAAAAAATTAATCTACCTTTTATAAAATATGAAACATTGGTACATGTTGTAGATTATTTATACATTTTCATACTTAATATTATAATATTACTTATTTTCCACTATTAGATAGCTTGTTCGCTAACACTGCAGATTATCATAATTAACAATAAGTAGATATTATAATAGCTATTATCTACAATATTGGTAGTATATTGTGTGCATTATAACGATGCAATTTCGACTTTTTATTTTTAAAATTATGTGTTTTACTCGTGAAATAATCTAGGATGGAAAATATGCTCACATAAATTTATACTATAGGCATCATATTAAATTATGTTCGTCTTCATTATAATAGTGTAGTTTCTAGATAACCTAATATTATACAATTTAAATTTTGAGTGGAATATAAATACATAGTATTAATTTTAAAATGTTACGAATTGTATCTATTAATGCTGGCCTATGTTATAAACTGATATAAAAGAAAGAAATGTAAAAATATGGGTAGTACAAGCGCGCAATTAATGTAAGATGTTTTTACATGATAAATTTTTAATTTACGTTGTTTGCGTTTGGCTTTCGTTTGCATTTAATTTTTAAAGCATATACTTTCTGTACAAAATGGAGCATACAATATTAGATATAAATAGAAATTTCACCAAATATAGGTACTTATTGTGCATTATAATATGTCCTGGCTAGGTTAGGTTAACGACAGTATTAAAATATGTTTGACTATTGTCATATATTATTTTATATTATAATCTATATATTCACAAGTTATACATTGGGTACCTATTTTTTGTTTTTTTCTATCTATTTGTGTCCAAAAACTACATAAAATAATCTGATATTACATTAGTCACATTAAAAAAAAATATATATTTTTACTATAATTATATCTAATTATGGTATAATATGTAAGTATTAGGTAAATAGGTCATAAATAATATTCCAATTATCTTGGAATATATTTATTTAATTTTTTTTAATATTTTTAATGTAGAAAAGTATTCCAACCCATTCCAAAAACTTTCACAAATATTGTGTGATTATATTTTTTAGGAAAGTAAATCATATTTAAAATAAATATGAATATTTAAATATTTTTTTTTAGGTAGGTAATTTAGATAATTAATAAAAAGCAGATAAACTATTTGTTATCTTTTTCTTTTGATAGGGATATTCTGGTCAACCAGGAATGCAACAGCCTGGCTTTCAACCACCTTATCCACAATATCCAGGTGGTAATGTAGGTCAATCAACAGGTTTCCCAATGCCGAGTGCGTATCCACCGGGTCAACCTAACTACCCTCAACAAAGTCCGTATCCCCAAGTAGGTCAATATCCTCCTAAACAACCTGGTCAGTTTCCACCTCAGTCTGATGCATATGCTCCAAATCCGTCCATATATCCTACACCAAATCCGGTACCTGGACAGTATCCTCCATCACAAGCTGCATCATATCCAAATGTCCAACCGCCATCCAGTTATCCACCACAATCTGCATACCCATCACAATCTGCATACCCATCACAATCTGCATACCCATCACAATCTGCATACCCATCACAATCTGCATACCCTCCACAATCTGTATACCCACCACAATCTGCATACCCAATTCAACAAACGTCTTCAGTTTATCCAAATATGACAACTGGTGGTTATGGAGGTGGTTCTCAAGTTCCACCACAAGCAGCTTATCCGCCCATTAACACTCCTGCCCATTATCAACCATTGAGCAACTCATCTGCTCAGAAGAAGGTGAGATTTCATTAATTTCTATTATGAATAGGTATGCACAGAGGTGCATATTGTTCATATTATTTGTTTTATTTGTATTATTTTTTTTACTCTTATTTCATATATATTTTATTTATTTTACCCATTGTTATATTTGTTATTATTAGAACTAAAATTAATTTCACTGTGTTGTATTTAAAAATATTTTAATTTTTCACAATTTTAGTGGGCATCTTTATTCTAATTTCTATTAAAATTTAACAATATCTAGAGAATTGTAGCAAAAAATTACACGGTATATTATGCAAATATATATATAAATAATTTTTTTACATAATTTAGTGTATTTATTATTTAGTAAATATTTATTTCAAAATCAAAATATCTTATTATTATTTTTTTTTTGAACATACATATTTGTATGTTTTCTTAATATGAACATTTTTGCAGCCTTCCTTGAGATTTTTGAATTTAAATATATTTTCTTAGATGGTTAGTTGTATCACTTACTTAATTACTTAATCACTTTTAAATACTTACTATAATAATTTAAATTTAAACTTATTTTATATTTTATAACTATTAGGCAAAAATTAAAAAAAAAAAATATTGATAAACATAAGCCATAAATATATGGTACTAATTTTATATATAAAAAATAAAACAACAGCAATAAAACATTTTAATCTAATGAACTTAGCTCATTAAATAAATAACTATTATTTTTATTAACATAATAAGTCAATTTGGTTAATTCTGATAACAATAATTATTTATTCTCTTTTTATCTTAATATTTATATATCATGCAAAATTTTTTTAATTAACAATGATGTTGATAACTTCAAAAGGAAAACTAGTTATTTTGCCTATATATCCACTCCTTATATAATACATTTTTGAGCTTTTTCATATAAATAAAACTTATTTTTTTTTATAAGGGTTAAATATATTATTAGAAGAAAAGAGAAATGGTATGAAATATGCTATTAAAAAAAAAAATGTATGTGTTTTTCATATTACAAAAATATTTATTTTCATTTTAGTCTAATCCAACACTACGTCCAGCAAATCCATTTGATGCACAACGTGATGCAGAAATCTTGCGTAAGGCTATGAAAGGATTTGGAACAGATGAAAAAGCAATCATACAGGTCTTGGCTCACAGAGTTAATTCTCAACGACAGCAAATTGCTATTCAATTTAAGACTATGTATGGCAAAGTAAGTGGTTTGAACAATATACATAGTATTTATTACAAAAATGTTGTTATTGAATATAATTTTTTTACTAAAATAATATTATGTTTTTTTAATTAAATGTTTTATTATGTTAATAAGGATTTAATAGACAATCTAAAAAGTGAATTAAGTGGAAAGTTCGAGGACTTAATTGTTGCACTCATGACACCAACTTTTGATTTTCTTGCCAAAGAAATACGCCATGCTGTTGTTGGTTTAGGAACTAACGAAGAGACAATAATTGAAATTATATGCACAGCAACTAACGCTGAGATCAGGAATATAAAAATGGCATACCACAAATGTAGGTTACTTTGTTATTTTAAAAACATTTATTTTTTGTTTCATAATTTCATATTGTATTTAGTGTGTGGAAATGATTTGGAAAAAGATCTTATAGGAGAAACATCAGGAAGTTTCCGCAGATTGTTGGTGTCTCTTTGTCAGGTTTATTATATTTTTTTTACAAATAATACTATTTTTTAATAATAAATTTAATATAGTTATTATTTATATAGGGAAGACGTGATGAAAGCCCTCACATTGATGTTGCATCTGCTCAAGTTGATGCACAAAAGTTGTTACAAGCAGGTAAATAGTAAAATAGTTGCAAAATACATACATTTAAAGTCTTTGTGTAGAATTTAACTAATGCAATTTCATAGGTGAACTTCAATTTGGTACTGATGAATCTACATTCAACATGATTTTATGTAGCCGTAGTTACTCTCAATTGCAACAGGTATTTTTAGAATATCATCGTCTAAATGGACGAGATTTTGAAGATGTTATCAAAAGTGAATTCAGTGGAGACATTGAAAATGGACTGCGAGCAATTGGTATGAATTTATAAATATGCTAATGACATTTTTTTATTTTATTTTATTAACATATATTGTTTTATATTTTTCTAGTGAAAACTGTAAGGGACAAAAGTTCTTTCTTTGCTAAACGTTTACACGACAGTATGTCTGGATTTGGCACTAATGATAGAGCTTTAATTCGTATGGTTGCCACTCGTTGTGAAATAGATATGGTTGATATAAAAAATGCTTATATGTCTATGTATGGAACATCTTTGGAAGCTGATATTGCTGTAAGAAATATATTTTATTTTTATATCCACATTAGTTAGGTATCAGTTATTACTAATCATATATTAATTCCTGAAGTAATTTACTTTTTTGAATACTAATATAAAAATAGGCATGTTACGGGTATTCATTTGATTTCTTAGTTACTATTGAGTAATGAGTTCTTTTAAATAGTATATAAAAACCATCTATACGAGTTCAAGTACTGCGTGCAAAGGATAACAACCCGTAGATCGCATTAAAAAAAAAAAAAAAACTGTTTCAAAAAATTTGAATTGTTAAAAATGTTGTACTTGAAATACATTGTATTGCCAACCACCAAAAAATTTATTAAATATCATATTTCTATAAACTATTTTGAAATATTTATAGTAAGTTACAAGAGTAGTGGGTGAAAAGTAATTTAACTGTTTCAGTTGATTTATGGATTAAATTGTTTTTATTCTCAACTAAATATCCTATTTTGGTTATATTATAGCCTGGAAATTATTATTATTTATGGTTTGACATTTATCTGTCAACAATTATTATAAAAAAAATTAAATTTGTTTATTGAAATATAGTATAATATATAGATTGTTTTTAAATCTAATTTTATTAAGATACTATTTATGTTTCAGGATGACACATCGGGTGATTACAAAAAATGTCTTGTAGCTTTAGTTGTGGGCTAGAAGTCCAATTAATGATAGTTATATTATTTTTATTTTTATTTCTATAATCATTAATAAAATTAAAAACTTGCATTTTTTTAATAGAGAACAATACACATACATTATTCATTTTTAATTTAATACTCTATTTGATAACTAAAATAAACTACTAGGTTTGACCTATATACCTTTGTGATGTAACTTGTAAGTCATACTTACTTATATTATGTACTAATTTTACTTTTAATTTTTTTGAAAATTGGTTCAAAGGAAATTTCATTATTTATTTTATTATATATTTCAGATGTTTATTTTTATTGTTATACTTATTTACAATGTATACATTACATTATTACATACTTTTCAATATATTTTGATATGCTACTTGTATTTATGTACTTATCTCATTTTTGTTGTTTACTAACATTTTAATAGTTTTTGTTAATTTTACCATTTATATGCATTTATACATTGTTATTTCTTACTTAATTGAAACCAAAATTGTAATCAAAAACCAAATTAATTCAATTATTGCAACATTATTTTATGTCCATAGTAATATAAAAATTGTATTAATTGTGAATCACAACCATTAAATTTTAAGCAGGGTAATTGCGTGCCACTTATTAACTAAATTACAATCTTACTAAATATATTTGTATAACTTAATATTAAAAACTATTTTGGTGCTTATAATCTATTGTACTTTTAGGTGTATTCAAATCTATTTTAATTGGTTTGTTGTATTTCAATATATATATATTTTTTACCCACATATTTTAACGATTTTATACAACACACTTTGTAATTTTATCGACTTATTTATTTATAATATATGAACAGTTTATATTGTAATTTGTTCAGATGTGTAATTTAATAATAGCTTAATTCATTTTACCACTTGTCATAATATTTTAGTAAAATTTTTAATGCCGTATTATATTGTAATGTAAGGTGAAGTAATAACTGATAAATGACCAATAGTCCATATTACATGTCTTTATCTTTTAAAAATAAAAAAATTCTCAAAAACATTATCAATTTTAGTGCCACTATTGTAACTTTCATTATTATTGTATTTATTAGGTATTTAATATCACAATTATATATTTGTTCTTAATTAGTATTTTAAATTATATTTGTAAGTAAATTCATAACTTATGAGGTTATTAATTATGTAATAAAATTAAATAGCAAAATAAATTCAAAAGGTCTCAACAGATATTACAGAAATAACTTCATAATTGTATTGCTTATCAGAGTTTTATTAATGTTATTTGTTTTGTCAGCTTCATGTATACTGTAAAACATATGACAAGTTTAAGTGATAGTAAAATTCTGTGTATGTAACAATTATAAGTATACATTTTTTGAATACACATTTTAGTGATGAGTTGGTCAAACTGTCAATCAATTTGGCTCTTTTTATTTCTTTACCTATCGCGACAGCCAGCAGCTGGTTTTTTGTTGTTATTTAGTTGAAACTATTTGTAGAAATTAAAATTTTGACTAAAAACTTATATTGGAATTTTCTGAAGTGGTACCATTGTTTTGTAAAACAATTTTTAGGCATTTTATGTTTGTGTGCTTATTATAATTTTTTCTTTGATTTTAGATTAATAAGTTTATATAAGCACATAAAATAGAGAAATAAATAAATGGTAAAAATAGGATATGAAATAAGAAAAGTTATTCAACGATTTTGCAAATATAAAACTGTAGGTGATGATGTAATTTTGTGTACTTTGCAGCAGGGCATAAAATAATTGAAATTTTGTACTGCACACTCGTATAAATGCATGTCTCTTTCAATATACTTATAAGCGAAAAAAAAGGTTCATCTTGGCATTCATAACAATCAGAAAACAATTTATTTACTGCCCTCAAAAAAAATAGTCACTGGCAATTGCTTCTTCCTTAAAACATTATAGACTTTCAAATTATTAAGTATTAAGGAGCCGAAGGGTACCCCAAAACCTAATAATAGTTCTCCAAAAATGTGTAAATAAATGTGCTCATAACACATCCAAAAGTAATCTTTCATCATAATTGGGTTTAGCTTTTGCAAGCTTTTGATTTCAGTTTCTCCCTTGTACAGATTTAATAACAATAAACATAATAATATTCATATTCTGATACTCTGTTTTATTAATTTAAAAAACAAATTTAAGTGTTACGTTTTTTATACACAACTCATTGAAAACTTGATCTGTTTTGACCTCAACTTCACTGTGACGAGACAGCAAAGCTTACCCATTTAGTCTAGTCTATAATTACAAACAAACCACGATATTTATAAACAGTTTACGTTCATATTTGTATTGTGAATCCTATTAGATTCCAAGCATAGCGGGAATCTATTAGTTTTACTATATGTTGTGTGTTTTTTTTCCGTCTGCGAACAACTATTCTACAAGAAAACTTACTCTGAAACATAGACTACAGGACCTTTTCTGAAAGGTAATTGTTTCACATCAGTGCATTGAATGGTCTTTTATTGATTTTCCAAGGGGTTTTCGAAATAATCGATAAAAACCGAAAGAAAATTATAGGTAAAATGGCAAATATTTACGGTGCGTCGCGGCGTTACCGTTTTCAATGTTTTCGTTATGTTAAAACGGTGTTTTCTACCAGAAATACTAGTCCAATTCAAAAATGATAAGCAATCCATTTTGTTGCTTATAATATTCCGCTACTGACCGAATAAGTAGTTTTTCAATATCTTAAGTAATCTAGGTAGATACCTAGGTTGTTTTAAAGAACGCATATATTGAAAACTTATTAGTACGCGATCCTTAATCAATATATTATACTATCTATTATCTATTATCTGTTATCTATTTAGTACTTATACGTATTTATTATAACCATTGTCTTCAGAGTCGACAGGATTTAACTATTTAGGTTGACGTTTGGGTTTGCTCCTCAACTACAATGAATTGGTCAACCCGATAAATATTAAAAATACTCATATTTTATGATATTAATTAGTTATGCACGGGGAGAAGAATTCGTTATTAATAACTAACAAATAAGCAAATGGAAATAAATATTATTATTCCCGTCTAAAATTCCAATATTGTAATCAATGTAGGTAACATTATTACACGTTGTTGTAGAGGGGGAGTGAACCGACGGTATTTGTTCGGGTTCAAATGTTTAATCCACGGATTAAGATATACTTAAAACATAATTAAGTTCTTGATTCGTGGTTCAATCCATAGTGTTTAGGTACCACGGACGCGGATTAAGAAATATGTCTTAAATACGCGGCCAAGTAATGTCCGCGGGGTTTACTGTACACGATTCAACTATTATAATTGATAAGGACTGTTGTCGCGAAATATGGCGTCACACGTATTTGGATTTGCAACGAAGAGTCTGCGCTGGCACGGTTATAACTTGGTACGTAACAAATTGTATTTATTTTCCCGTGAGTGTACGCGCGTATGAAATATAAATAAATCTTGTATACACGTTATTTCCGCTCGTTCGCGTCAATATCTGATCGCTGTCGATTGTCGAATGCGCCCGCGAAAATAGTCACGCTGCCGTTGGTCGACGCCCGGGGTGACTATGATTATTGCGGCCTACGCGTCTCCTCCGTGAACGCAGTTGGAACGGTTGGTCGACCGCAGAGACGCTCCGCCACAAGGACCAAGTCGAATTCCGAGGTTGTTCGCCCGCCACGCGTCGACGCTTCGACGTGCTCGTCCGCGTATACTGTACGAAACGGACGCGGTCTCCTCGGCCGCCGCGCACCACTCGCCGTATTGAGACTTTTTGGCCGCCGTGCACGATAAAATGTACGGAGACTTCTCGACCGCCCCCTGCCCGTCACCCCCCCCCCGCAATTGGACAGCGCTATACGTTTGTGCAACGATAATGTTTGACAGAAATGATAATCGGTTCAAGATTCGGGCCACCGCGGTAACGAAAATGCCCGGTAAGAAAAAAATGAAAACAATTTGCGGACTCGGATCGACAATCACCGTTGCAGGCGATTATCTCTTCTACAGCGCGTTAGATACATAGAGTAATTATTACCCTATGGTTATGCGCCGTGTTATCACTATGAAATATTATTTGTTTTGGTTTAAATAATTCGTTTTGTCATTTGCGTAGTTTTCGTGGTCGTTTTTACTTATCTCTTGTTATATTACAAACATTTTGTTTTTATTTCACGTACCTACGCGGCGAATACGATTGATTGTGGTTAGTGATCAGCCCGTTACGTGGTCAGAGCGTAACAACTGATTGAGTAATTAATAATTCAATTTGTGACAAACGTCGTATGGATTTCAATTGATTAACCGTTAGGTGTCGTACACACTATTTATCGTGGAAATAAAATTCACTTAAAACGCTCCGAGATAACAGCTGATTCACGGTGAAAAAAAAATCAAATCACTTTATATTATATATATATATTTTTTCTTTTCCCGTAATAATTATTGTTTTGTATATTGTGCTCGACCCGTTGAAATATATATGTAAATGGATAATTATACGAAACATAATTAATGTGCGTATCGATAATTTTATTATTTTGTGTTCAGGCGTTAAGGAAACCGTTATTTATATCGCGTATATATATGTGTGTGTGTGTGTGTGTGTGTGTCGCGCTAGTGTGAAATAAAATGTAGATATGCTTCTATTATAACGGTTTTGTTGTAAGCAATTGAAAGCAATGTGTCGGTTCTGGAGCGAAGCGAGAAAAAATGTCGGTTTGACAAACTATGAAATTATTTGCCGTTCGGGACAACCGATCTATGGAACGCTTAAAATTAAATAGGGCTCGCAGTGTCCTTCGCCATTTTGTGCCACTTACGCCCCTCGCCGATGGATGTGTTGCTACATAAAGTTATTTAATTTTTGTCCGCACGCAACGATAAACCATTGTTGACGAAACACGATTTTGAGCGAAGTTCGGTTTGACACGTTTTGGATTTTTACGATTTTCGTCAAAGCTTGTGCTTGAAAGGCTTGACAAAAAAAAAAAGATATGGACATGTTTCGCACGAGGGATGGGCGGGCTACTGTTGTAGGCGAGAAGTTGGGAAGGTAAATGGGAATTTTAATGTATATCTGTACCTACGCAACGGTTAACCATTGCTAACGAAAAACGATTCTGAGCGGAGTTCGGCTAATAGTGTTGCTTTTTGTCAAAAATAGTTACATGTCATATGATGGTAAAATTATTTCCTATGTATTATGTATTTTCTTCAATAGTATTTGTTTAATACTGTACCTATTTTCCCGGTTTTTTCCCATTTATCATGGAAAACAGCTGGGAAAATAAAAAAAAAAAAAAAAAAAAAATATGACCCGTTTAATTTACCACCCCAGATTCGGAATGAAATCGGCTGCAGAAAAGCAGTTCACACTAAAAAAAAAAAAAATAAACATCACGGTAAAACGAAAACATTCCTCGTTCCGTTCAGAATCTGAAACTACTTTATTATGTAAACATTTTCATTTTCGTCGACCGCTAAATTGGGTAATTCGCGAAAAACGTCGCGTTTTCAAGCATCCGGCCGAACAATAATTTTGTTCCCGAAACCGAAATGAAAACTCGAAAACCGTCTTGAATATTGTTTGTACCAATCGTTTAGTCGAAATAACGCGGGCAAAGCCGGACACGCGCGCGGTAGACCGTCCCGCGTGCGTTTGCGTATGTGTGAGCGTGTGCGTGTGCGTGTGCGCGCCCGATGGCATCTTTACGATGTCCGTCCCTAAGTGCAAACCAGAGTCGAAAGACTGTTTTATGTGTACGCGTATACATATATATTATATACATAATATAGTGTGTCGGGCAATCGTCGTAAACGGAATATGGACAAAAAACAAGACGAAACGAAAATAAATAAGAAAAAAAAACAAAAAAAAAAAAAACCGAACCTATACCTATACCTGTACCTACCTACCTGCCCGTCTGCCCGCGCGCGCTACAGGAAGACGCATCAATATTTAGTGACGACAAGCCGTCATAAATTCGAACGTATCGCGAGAAAAAGTAAGTGTTTTTTTCCCTATCTTTCTAAATTGTGTATAAAAAAAAAAAAAAAAAAAATATACTCGTCGCCGTACGTATAGTATCGGCCGTATTATACACGCACCTTGATATACAACAATATATTATTATTATACACCTATACATTATACACGTTTGTATATTTTATTATGCGATTCGAGAACGTTACGCGCGGTGTAAAAAAACTCTTCTCGCGTCCATTAATAACCGATACGGATGTGTATTTGTACATTTATGTACACCCGCTCGTGTATTCATACGTACAGTATGCATGTATCGACACGAAGTAAAAACCACACGCCTATAATATACTACAGCGCGTATACCGGGTGTATTTATTGTGCCGGAAAGTCGCAGTCGTACACGCCGCGCGTCTCGTACTGTTGTCGGACCTGTGCAATGTTATGATGCGCATAAAAAGCCGATGTCGTTGTCGTTATCGCTGCGCGGACGGAAACCCGGAATTATGCGGAATACTGTCGACGGTTGTTCGTTTTCGTCTAGACGTAATAATATTATTATATTATTACGGGACGGGTAGGTACAGCAGTCATTCGGAATCGACCCGCGGGAGACAAATAATAATGGCCAAGGACAATTAATAATTTCGCCTGTGTGACCATGTGCGTTTTAAATTCGTAATATTTTATTGCCGAACGCCGCGTTATTTAAACGTAAAATTGATTCGTTCGGCGACTCTGGTCCAGTGGCGCCGTACCGCGTACATAATTATTGTTCAATATTTTCTAATTTTCTCCGGTACACGAACGAACGTAGAATTACGGCTGGCCGCGTTATGTTTAATCACGTTGTTTTCGGTACGGATGGAAAAACGCACGACGGCGTTACATTTTTCGCGTTACAATAAACGCGTCTCGCCCGTTGTCGACTGACCACTGACACCCAGCCCCGAAAACGAATCCGTATTAAAACAGTTTCCGGCGGACAAAAACTATTCGGGGTTTGACGGGCTTAGTTAAGAAACCGAATGTTCACCACAAAACACGGAGAACTTGCACTGTGCAACCGTTGGTTTTAGTTTATTCGATATTGCCATTACGGAATAGGTCATCCGGGTTTGTCAAACTAGAAATTGTCTGAAGATTTCGTGCCGTATCGAACAAATAAAATCGACGCTGCACCGCGCCAGTTATTCTTCCTTTTCTAGTCTGTAGCCCGAGTGGTCTTTTCCTCTGCACGTAAACGGTCTTTACGGTCGAATTACGGGCGGCGGGACGCCCCGTTAAGGGTCCGGCTCGTGGTTTTTGATAAATCGTTAGCGTTTACCGTTAAAAAGTCTTGACGGTTGAATTTGTGTGTTAATTAAAAGGGGCACGGCCCATTATCAAGTGCAGGTGCGATTTCGACGAAAAAAATATTTTCTTTTTTCCGATTCCGGAGACATGGCGGTGTTATTAGTCCACGTAACCAGTAACCATAAAACAAAATTAACTGATATAAACAAACGCGCGTAACAGTTATTATTGTAATGTGTGTATAATCGAACGTCGTACGGGTACGCGCGACATTGTCTTTCGGGCAAATTTTAATTTCCGGCCGATTCGCGGACAAAACGCAACACGACGGTGGGCCGTATTGAATAACGGCATCGCCCAGTTGCCGGCGCGTCATGTACCGTCGACGTCGCCGTCCCCGGGTGAGGTGCGCGTGACGGTCGCGTAAACGCCGACGGCGGACACGGCCAGTCCGAGAACGACGGCGAGCGCGTCCTTGGCGATCACGTGCGGTCTGGCCCACGTGCCGTGCTGGGCGTGCGTCAGGCACAGTTCGATCGTGTACGGGTAAACCAGTACGTTCCAGCCGTTGCCCGCGTACCCCAAGGCGGCCATGGCCGGTGCTGCGGGAACGCCGCCATCCGGCACGACGAAGAGCACGGCCGCTGCGAAACATCCGGTCACGCGTAACGTTTCAATGTTATTATCGCGCCGTTGCAACCCGAGGGCGGATTCGGGCGCCCGGGCCAGTGGCGTACGCAGGATATTTTCAAGGGGGGGGGAGGTCGGGTGTCATAATGGTCGGTACTGCCCGCGGTAATGATAAAGAATTCAGTTTTTCTTGTGTTAAAGAAGCATGCAATCGAGTTTTTCTACGTTTAAGTTAAATAAATAGATATTTTTACATTTTTTTTCTGTGTAGAGTTAAAAAAAAACCTCCTTAGTAATTTGCATGGGGGCTCTGTGCCGTGTACCGCGTGCACATGCGTAAATCAGGGCCTGCTTGCGTGACGAAATACGGAGTATATAAAGACTTTGCAGTCAGCCCAAATCTCGAATTTACTTAGGACATCCAAATTATATCGGAGTGGTGGATATATTGAATATTTGTATGCCTAGACCTGGTTTTAATGTCTCTGATAAAAATATGGCTTGGTCGACATACCTAAAAACGAACTGAACGTGAAGACGATTTTGGTGCCCGCCACCAACCACGACATTTCAGAAAACGAAAACCGATCCGTCACTTTTTCAACGGCCTTCGTGATGGACGACGACCATAATAGCGCCACGGACTCCAAACACAGTTCTTGGTGTGATGACACGATACACGTGACAAAACATATCTTCACGAAATCCAGTAATCTTAAACAAGAAAATCGTAACTGGCCTATATCCCAATGGTTGTAACTCCAAAAATAAGATTTCCATTGACATTTCCGATTAAATAAATGATAATGTGTCGTTTAAAAGCACGTTGATTTATAAAAAATGTATTATAAAAGTGCTGATACAAATTTAACGAAATTGTCGCGGTAAAAATTAAGTCCTATTTCTATAAAAATTATTTTCGTTTTTGTGTGAGGACTTGAACTCCGAAAATATTTTTTGTTTCTCTTAATAGTTAGGAATTAGGGCAACGAGTTATAACGAGTTATGACTTTATTGATTTTATAGAAATCGTTGCCAAGACCAACCCTATAAAACAATCTGGAGTATCCATAGATGATGACTCATCGTTGATGAGCTAAGTACTTAGGTGGAGATTTGATTTTTTTTGAAGGAGGAATGCTAGAATAGCCGTATATAAATTATAATATTATACATATATAGTTAAGATTGGTTTTTTGTGTAAATCAAATCTCCGTAAGTACGTGTACAGTAGCATACATTATATAGAAAAGCTCGAAAATAGGACTTGATAGAACTTGTATAGCTATCAAAAAGTGATAACTTTTTGTTATACTATATTTTAGAACAGGTTGCTTATTTTGTTACCTGGACGCCGGAATAACAGTCAACACCGAATATCCGATTTTCGGTATACAATCAAAAGTCAAATAACCCCACAAGCCTACTGAAATGTACATATTTGTTATTATAACCATTGTTATGTGTAATAGGCTAAACGACGGTCCCCGCACAAAATCTTCTGGTTTGATCAACTCGTCTTCGATTTTTAATAACTATGAACAAAGTTGCATTGTTATTATAGATAAATCAATGTCATAGAGATTGAACGTTTTCAACAAACTAAATATTACTGGGTTAGAATCAAATAAAGTAAAATAATAATACCCGTGAGCAGCAGAGTTCAACAATAAATACCTAACTATTACTATAATTATACTATTTGAACTACCAAAATAATAATGTAATTTAATATGATACAGACAGGAGTTGAAAGTTGAAATGCTCAAGATATATCTCCGACATTAACAATGTGCATAATATACAAAATCCCATGTCCTGGATTTATTTAGGAGATCTGTTGGGTTTCTAAAACTAAAAATCTATCTTCCTCTCACAACAGCACGGTGAAATTCATAGTGAAATAATTTTACCCAATTTGTATTAATTTAATCCGCCAATACATGTAGCGACAAATAAAGAAATTTCGATACACCTAATATTGTCTAATATTTAATTTCAATCATTTTTTGGGTAATTTTGAATAACTTATGTTAAATGTATTTTTAAAATATTAGAATAACATACCTAATATCATTATATTGATTTTATTATTATTTAAATTTATTTAATCATATTTGACTATATTGGAACAATAATCTTAATTTTACGTATATCATTTTTTTTTCTCGGAGTATATGACATTCTGCCATTCTGACATTAAAGTACCTATCGCGAACATTTCGCGTTTTGCCCGGGAATTTCTGAAATTTTCCCGATTTCGGGATTTGCCGTTACATAGTATTAACTTTTTTATGTAAGTTATTGTATAGAACCAGTCTGTTCACTTCCAAAAAAAAAGGATGATGAAAATAACATTAACGTTAAATTGTAGAGCCGCTTGTATCTTAAAATTGTCTATGAAACAATTTCCGAAAAAATTTAATACTTTCCTAGATAATTTACGTTATTAACGTGTTTTACGTTATATTAATCATCTTATATTCTTAACAGTCTATTTTTGGGCAGAAATTCGTTAAAAATCTAAGTTTACTATGTACTCGTATATCCTTTTCCCCTAAACTATATTATAGGTACGGTGTTAACATTGCAATTTATTTATTTATATAGGTAATTACATTTTAACTTTCGTCTTATCATACATATTAAAATATAAAATAAATATCTATAGGTACTTATGTAACGAGAAATTATAATATTTTCTTGTTATCGGGTACATACCTGAAAGACAGGCACGAACGAAAACAAAAGTATGCCGAAAAAATGAAAAACTTCCCGCCAATCGCCACGGAACAGCGACTGATGGTCGATTTGAATGTCAGTGGCGTACATGTGGCTGTAGAAGTAGCATAGTAAAACGGCGGTAAAAGTGATTTTTCCAAGGACCTTTAAGGGTTCCAAGTTCTTCACAGATGGCACCAATAATAGCGCCAAGTATACGGTCATATAGACCAGACAACTGTCTATCGACTTCATAGGAAAGTCCATTCTGACGAATAACTACACGCATCATTCCGGGTAAGTGCGTTTGAATATTGTTTAATTTGTATAAGAAAAAACATTATAATTATTTAATTATTACAAATGATTAGCTGTCCGCGCATAATATTGGACGAAAATTGTTTATAATCACGAAAACGTGCCTCCCCGTGACTCCCCGTTTACACCCATTACTTATCACAGTTAACCGTTGTTGTAAGTTAGTTAATTTTTTATTAGAAGGTACGTTTTTGCCCGGGACAATCAAAGTTACTGATTTTAACGGTTTTTTTTTTTCATTTATATCACCAAAGTAACTCATTAATATTTAATTCGATTTTCGTACTAATAATATATTAATAACGCGGTATCTGTCCCTCTTTAGTGGTTGAATACGGAGAGAAAGTAGCCTATACATGTTATTCCTGTTCTAGAACTATATCAATGTAAAGTTTCAGTTCAATCCGTCCTGCGTTTTGGCGCGAAGGGGTAACAAAAAACCCATTCATCTAAACGAACTTTCGCATTCATAAAATAATAGTAGGATTAATAAGATTAAATATTACGCTGTTAAATCTGCAGTATAATATAATAAATAAACGCAAACCAATACCTCTTGAAAAGCCGTGGACACGAATTTCGTGTAGAGGCAACTCACCCCGAAATTCAATGACAGGTTCATGGCGACGAACAAAAACCTAGGAAAAAAAAAAACCAACAACAGTCTGTGCGACAAAAAACTTTATTTTATAGGTACGCACTCCGGCTCAGCGGGAGAGATCGCGTCTCGTTCTCGGTTTACACCATAAATATGGTATGAATCATACGCCACCGCTTTTAATATAATGCATACATGATATATTATTATATTTACTTGAAAAACTTTGAAAAACTACTGATTACTCTCGGGCCCAATGCCAAGCTGTACTCGATCAAGTTCTGATAAGAATAATGCGGCACCGTGGTCGGCACTTTGTGTATTTGACATATTTTATACCTAAAACGGCACTATAAAACATATTTCTAATCGGTTATTTTGACACAGGATCTTTCGTATTTTATATAGTAATAATAATATGACCCGTACGCGCTTCCTGATCCCGAGAGAGAGGACCGTAACGTCGTCGGGTCGTCGGAAAATTAATTCGGTCCGTTATAATATAATAATAATAATAATAATAATAATATAATTGAAACCGATAGTGCGAAGATTTAAATATTACGAATTATTATACGATTTAATTTCGGTCATACACAGTGATATTGTATTGTTTATAAGGATCGCAGTCGAAAACCTATCGAGTTCGTAACAATAATATTATAATGGTCGTGTACACGGGACGATATTATGTTTCGTATAAAGCGTATTATAATATTATTGTATAGGTTGGTACCCGCCTAAATGTATAATAAATTTCTCTACGAACTTAAATTACGCGTCTCACGTTCTATCGAAACTGACAGTTTTTATGAAATACGACGACAGTGCGCATTCGATTAAAATAATTATACTTGATTTATACAACGATTATTATTATATTCTCGTGTAAAATTCAAAACTCGAGTTATGTCTTCAACGTGTACATAACGTATATAAAATACGCGTCGCCCGTCGTACCGACACATGCGCGTACAGGCATAAAATGGATTTGATTTATCGTGACACCTTTGTATTGTTATCTGGTTACGTGTGGGTTACGCGACTGCAGTATACCAGCCAGCTCGAAAAAACAAAATGTGTTTTTTTCTTTTCGCCGTTGCGACCCTATCGCTACTACTACTATTGCTACTACTACTACTCACACATACACATACACATACACACACACACACACATACACATACACACGCGCGCGCGCACAAAAGCAATAATAATATACGGGTTCGTGTGCGTGCGCGCGTATGCACGAGGAAGTGGCGCGCGCAATGGCTTTCCGCGACAAAAACACCTGTGCGATGCTCACCAAAAGGGTGTACGAATAGCCGAACGTCAGTCCGGCGAACACGCACAACGCCAATCCGACGACCGCGCCCACCTGCTGGAACGCGTGCGGCATGCACAGGAAACCCAGGCCGACGGCGCGATAGACGGCGAACACGATTGACAAATAGGACCTGCGGTGACGAGGGAGAAAAAAAAAATGAAATAAAGGATTAACGAAGTCGATATACCCGAGCGGTCCGGTGCTCGAATTGGGGGGGAGGGCAGGTGACGGAGTACTCCCGCATAGTTTCAGCGTAGATATAATATCGTTTCATTTTGCGTTTTTGTCAAAAACGTTTTCACGTTAAAATTCTTTTTTTGAGCGCTTACATAGAGAAAAAAGAAAAATTCATTGCATCCCGTTCATGTAACGCGTGATAAACCCTCGTGTTAAATTTTCGAACATTTTCGCCGTGTCGAAACAATTTCAACTATAAAAAAAACTCAAATGGGGTTGTGAATAACCGGAAAATCGCCAGAATGTTTTGAAAATGCTCTTTTGAATGTACTCTGTCTGGGAAGAAATCTGTACCTATAGCTGTTATCCGTTTCCGTCAGAAACGTAACTTTTCCCCTTTCCGCCAAATGAAAAAATTTAGTCTAATATTTGAATATCAATGGACAATTATTTTTAAATTGTATTTAATAAATAATTCAAACACAATTTTTAAAAACTTTATAATTTTATTTTATTTTTTTGTCTAATTAATAACTGTAATGTATGCAAATGTCCATCGATATTCAAATATTAGACTAAATATTTTCATTTGGCGGAAAAATTAATTGGTGGAAAAGGGAAAGGTACGTTTTTGGCGGAAATCGACCATGCCCGACCCATATAGGAGACTATACATACGTCTAAATTAACTACAGAATTACAACAAAAATCGAAATCGAATATAACAGGAACCGTTATTGTGTAAAAAATATCAGGTACGGTTTTCCGGACGTTTTTGTTTTTTTAGGGTTATTTCCATAATTAAGAATACCACAAAGAAAATTAAAAGAAAATAATCTTCTCGTTACATCAATAGACACAATTTTCTACTAGAAACCATCACTTATAAAATTGATGATTGGAGCAAGATTTCTGATAGATAGTTTACATACAGAAGAAAAAAAAAATAAAAAAAGATGTATCAAAGTAGTAATCATCATAGTAGAATTTAAAATAAGTATACACTATGTTAGTAAAAAGTTAGCCTGTAGTAATTTCGGAAATTATTTATCACTGAATTATGTTTACGAATTGGTATAGGATTATGTTCAATAACTACAAGGGACGTTGATTTTTTTTTTTTTTAAGTCGTTTAGTCCCTTTTGTTATGTTTTCCAATCCGAGCACATTTAAAGGAGAAAACACCCGGGATAAACAAAGGGCGAATGTCACTTTTTGGTGAAAATGGGCAAATTATATAAAAATTGTATATGCTTTTTCTAGCGGTAACGGGGCGTATCTCAATAGTCATTATTGTTGAGAAGACCCCAACGCTGTTAGAAAAATCACTATTGAAACACCGGAAACGCCCAAAAATGTGTTTTATTCTTAATGTCCCGAAATCGATTAAAAACGTGAGGCTGACCCGAGCCCCGGAAATACATGTTTATTATTATCCATCGCGTGCGATATCATCGTAACACTCAATATGGCGTAAACACATGTAGAAATTACCGTGTTATGATGCGATTTACCGCGCGCGATTAGAGCATTACACTCACGGGTACAAATGTTCGCGGTTTCGATGGCAAAACGGGTCGTAGCCGATGCACTTGTACAGCAGCGTACTGGAAGAATTCGCAAACGCCGCGGCCGACCAGGCCGAAGAAGGTTTGCTTACCGAATTCGACTCGAACGACCGCGAGCTACAACTGTAGATCGATTCTGTTTTCGAGGCTCCCGACATGCTTATTGGTCGCCGACGAATGTTGTTCGGGTTACAAATACGGTGTCTGACCGCACTGTGTTTGCGTTATAACACGGTGCAGTACACACTGCGGCCGAATACGTTTCCCTAGGAACGGGTACGCGATGTCCGCCGAATTGAAATCTCTCTGAAACTATTCAACAATAGGCGTTTCCCATCTGACCGCATCATCCGTATAGTGTACGCGGTCAGCGTATATCACGCTCCACGATGCGCAGTGGCGTACACGTAACTTTTATATGGGAGGCTCGGTGACAGAAAGTTTCCTCGTGAAGAAGCTGTTTTAAATACGCATACACACACAAATCTACGTGTAAAAATAAAAAAATCAAAAAAAAAATCTGATGCTGATGGTTGTGACACTGTTGTATAGATGGGACGTTGTAGCGGTAGAATGCGAAAAGGGTGTTTAATTTACGTCTGTAATAAGCGATGATAAACCGTCGCTAACGAAATACAATTCTGAGCAGAGTATATTATTAGTCGTATTGATAAAAAAAAAAAAAACAATTTTATCAGAAATTTTCAACAAAAGTTAAATTCACTTCAAATCCTGCGAGGAAATTGCTGGTTTATGAAAAGTGGATCATACTGTAAACGACCGAAATGTTGTAAAACGACTAAAAGACATCAGTTTGACCGTTTTTCGAATTTAATTAAAAATCTGTAGCATCTACACAAAAATGTACCCGGTCTCATACATAGATCGTAAAAAATGTCTTTACAAAGTTTTTTTTCTTAAATTTAAAGAGAAACTTTGAGTCAAATTCGAAAAACGGACTAACTATACTGAGTTTTAGTTAATTTGCAAACCTCTTGTCGCGGTACTTGAAGCTCCAAATCATCATCGAATTTCACCGAAATTACAGTCTTAAATCGACGAATAAAACGTGAGAACGGTGATGGGGTTTCGATCGAAATCGTCTATTTTTCTTCATCAATAAAATAAGGACCGCTCTCGTATGATATGTGGGTATATAAGTCAGGGGTTATATTCCCCCCCCCCCTATTAGTTAAAAAATACGCGTAATCTAATATCGAAATACACACGTTTCAGCCAAGTTACGAGGAAAACCTTGATGTATTGATTAGAAATTGGCTCTTTTAACGATTACCGATTCCCATAGCCGAATGATTCTTTATTCGCGATTTGTGTTTGTCACATCCCCGCCCGTTGGAAATTCCTGGGCGCGCCACTGTATACGAGTATGCATCTCGTGCGTTTTCCACACACGGACACATTTTATGTCAATAATATAATATAAAAAACACCGAGTTGAAAACTATTCATAATTTATATTTTATAAATATATACAGGAATACGTACGCGCTATACACACTACGCGTCACGTCGTCGGTCCGTATTACGCGGCCGCTCTGTATACAACACCTATACGTGTACGACACTACCGCGTTATATACACTCGTTATATTAACAAATAAACACTCATTGTCTCTGCGGAAAACAGAATAATGTATATGTATGTATTTATATGTAATATATCGTTTAGTATATGTCATACGGTAATTTATCGCGTTACGCGCGGTCGTAAAATCCGGGAATCTTTACGATGATGCCTCAATTTTCGCCGAGCGACGCAATAATAAAAACCAGATTTCTATCCCCGTCATAATATTAAAACGTCCTACGGAACGCCGCCGCCGTATGCATTCGCATTTTTCGTGCCCATTCGGATTTTAGATTCTGAGCGAAGCGGTGAATGTTTATTGGTTTTACAACGAATTCAGATTCTGAGTGGAGCGAAGAAGCTTATGGTTTTACAAAGATGTTCGTTTGTTTTTTTTTTTTTTTTCTGTGGACAACATTTCTACCAGCTTTTTCGCACCAACTTATAACGACAGCAATGTTTCTGAAAGGAAATTTCAGGAAAAACTGGGAAAAACATAAGGAACCCGAGTGAAACTTAGGAAAACCGGGGAAATCGGTACAACGTTAGACAAATATTACTAAAGAAAATATATAGAGCCTACTTAATTATTTTACTATAACATGTATATTGTTGACAAAGCATCACTATCAACTGAACTCCGCTCAGAATCGTTTTTCGCTGGCAATGATTAATCGATGCATACAGATAGAAACTAAATCCCCCTCTATGTCTTATGTTTGAATATACTTCAAAATCCATGTCGCGTATACTCTCATATTAAACGATAATGTTTCTTTTTTTTTTGCATTTACGAATAATATTTGTATATGCTTAATAAAACGTAACATTATTTTTAGTAGAGGACGAAAACGCGCGCATATTATAAATAAATTTATAATAGCCCGTATAAGTACTTTATTATAATAACATTAATGGCGATAAATCAATACTTTATTATAACATTTCGATTGGGGTTTTGTATACAGGGTGTAACTCGAAGATCTTCTGTTTTAAATTTTTTTTTGTAATAATTACTAGAGCTATTTGCGCTACGATTATTCTAATTTTATATCATAATATATATTATTTTTTAAACTAAAGAAAAAAAAACTGTTTCTACAAAATTCGAGATAGGTAACAAATAAATTTTAAAATACAATTTTGGCGGTAAAAATATTTACTTTTCATGACAAATCGTGATGAAGTTTCTACGGATTTTTGAAGTTAACAAAGATTATTTTTCATTAAAAAATCGGCGAATCGGTTGATGTTGTTTAGCAGTGGCAATGAAAACAAATTAAGTTCTCGTAAACTTAAATATAATCGTAGAAGATTAATTATTTGTGAACTTTTCTTTCGAAATATATATTACTTATAAAATAGCACTCTTGGACTTTTTAAAACGATAATTTTTTATTTTTTACTTTTCGCAATCAAATGGCGGGGCTCCGGAAATTATTCCAAGGAAAATAATACTCAACAAAGTTCGTACGGAACAAGAGTTATTTCAGGTGTGATATCTTCGTGTTACACCCTGTATACAGAAAACACGCGTGCGATATTTTATTTATTACTCTCAGAATGTGCAATAAAATTATTTTATATACACGCGCGTATTATGTATAAATCTCCGGTTAATACGGTGATTCAACGAATGACATTTTTAGGGTTGGTCATTCTGTTTATCACGAGGTTATGTGTATAATATATAAGTGTATTCCTTCGTATTTTAATTACTCAAATGTACACTATTTATTACTTTTTACGTTACACATAATACGTAATATATTAATAGTCTTCACGACTAAAAATACCCCTGAAAAACGCATATAAAAAAAAAAAAACAAAATAATAATAATAAAAGCCGCATATACGAGCCTCTATACGTTATTATAATATCGCATTAATATTGTTAAATCGATTTTCGGTTTTGTTTACGCGGAAAACAAACATATTTTATCAAAGCAAACTATACTATAATAAAGTGTATTTATTACTCTACAGTAAGTCTCATTAAACGAGGTCTCTATTGAATTGTTTTTTTAAATTGATAATAATAATTAATAAATGAATTCATCGATTGGGCGATGCAAAATTCGTACAATGGCACCACGTTTATGCTGTAGCTAGGCACGGAGGTAAGCACGTGCCTAGGGCTAGGCAATGACAGGAGATATTTTATTTCTAGTGATACGCAGTAGCATTCCGAAATTAAGCTCATCAAAATGGACTAAGTAACATATAATAATTTTGAATTTTAAAATTTACATCACATATAAGTTGTTAGATAATTTTATATAGCTGAAGTGTTGGTTATGAACAGTGTTATGATATAGCTGTATCATTTAGTTGTTTCTCCAATGGGCGATCGATAAATTTGTGCCTATGGCTATGATTGAGCTCAATCCGACACTGAATGCAGTCGGGCTAGAAATAGTATTATTTTACAAATTTACAACAGTAAAAGTTTTATTATTTTCGATTTTTTTTTTCTACCAGAAATGTCGTTCCAAATTTCAAGACAAGCATCTGTCGTGGAAGAAAATTTGGTGTAGGCAGCGCTCGATCAGGTTTGTTTTCGTCTACTTAATAGTCGGTGAAAAAACGGGGAAGTTTATGGGCATTAACGGTTTCGTTATTTTCGATTTGTTCATTTCTATAGTAATTCGGTTAAATATAATCACAGAGACCTGCGATTCCCACAAAACACTAATAATGACCTTTTCTAGACGCGGTGAAATCGTCAAAATATACGAATGATTTTTCAAGCTATTTAAAATAGCTTTGTGCGTATAATTATAGGTAGGACTCGGGACTTTTGCATTTTAAATCCACAAAAAAGCCTTAAAAACGCACTTATAAAAACAAATATTGGTGTTATGCTTTGAAACACAAGTTTTTAAATAAAATTGTAAGCGTTATAAAACAAAATCGTGTTGAACATTTTTTTTTTTAGCGTTCGAAAATTGCGTTTTACGGTTAGAGCCGTTGTGAAAGGAAACGGGGGGGGGGGGAGGAAGTGAGAATTTTAAACTCCTCTGAATCCTCTGTTATTTTTGATTTAAAAAAAAAAAAAAAACACAAAATTTCAGAGATCTTTTGACGTTTTTAAGCGCTTTTTTATGGATTGTAAACGCCTAAAGTCCCGATTGCAGGCATTTGACGTTTGTTTGTTTTTTTTTTCATTTATTCCGCGGTGTTATTCGGGATAACGGGTCGACTCCGAGACCGTTTCGTGCGAAGTTTTCTGGCGTATACGGGCTCGGTTTCCCAACGTTCGCCGCGGCACACGATATATTATCGTAATATTTATTGTTATGCGCGGCGAACGCGTAGTAAAATATTATTATAGTTGTCGCGCTACTCTGTGTAACATAATAGGCATTATATTATACGCGCGTACAATACACGGTGTTTTTTTTTTTTTTTTTCGCCCGTTTTACGACTCTCTTTTTCATTTTTCTCTGTTGCGAACGGCCCGCGGTACGGTTCGCCCGCGATAACGTCGCGGCGGCGTGGTTTCGCGTGTCGTTTTTGAGACACTGCGACGCGGCGTGCGTCGGTCGGGTGACGGCGGCCGCGTCTATA